AGAGAGAGAGAGAGAGAGAGAGAGAGAGAGAGAGAGAGAGAGAGAGAGAGAGAATACCTTTAACTTAGGATCAACAACAGCAGTCGAATCATTTCTTGGTCCCATTTTGCAAGTGCCGGAGTAGTGATAGATGGTAAAAGGAATCGTTCTTATCGCACATTCCCAATATTCGTCGGAATCGTATTTGTAGTTCTCGCACCCGGGAAGTGTATCGTTCGCCAATTGCGAACCAAATATTTGCATCGCCTTTGTACGACTCACCTCTAAACTGGCTCTTATACCAGCGATTATTGTCTTAACGTCTTCAGGATCATCGAAATAATTCGGCACAATCTCGGGCTTAACATTGATATCGTTAGCTCGCAACTTTATTCGACCGCGACTTTTCGGTTTTAATAATATCGGAAATATGGTCCAGCCGTGTGCTCCTGCATATTTGTTCCAAATCTGGCACATGTATGTATTTAAATTCGTTATTGTTGGGAGAAAAAAATCTCCTTTGTATGATCCTCCGACAAAGAGTAATTCCATGTCTGGCAATCCGCTCAGTTTTTCCGGATGCTTTGTATTAATAAAAGCAAGTGCTTCGCACCCACCCGGAATCGTCATTGGCCCCGATTTTTCCACGAAGTAGTCTGCTATATGTGGCATAACAGGATTAATTATATCTATGAAGGAGATATCTATCCGAGAATCTATTATGAACGTTAGGCCACCGAAAGCTACGTGATCCATCAGATTTTTACCGACCGGTGCGTCCTTGACGACATTTATGCCGAGTTCGACGAGATGATTCGCTGGCCCAATACCTGACAGCATCAATAATTGAGGCGATGCAATGGTACCCGCGCATAGGATTACTTCATTTTTCGCAAACACATTCATTGTCCTACCATACTTGGTGAATTCCACGCCAACCGCTCTTTTTTTGTTATGATCAATGAGTATTTTTCTTACCATGCTTTCGCGTGTCACGTAGAGATTACTCCGATTGTGCGCCGGTTTCAGGTATGCTATGTTGCTACTCATTCGCTCACCATTCTGGATCGTAGTCTGCACGTATGAGTATCCTATTGTGTTATTGGTGTTGTAATCTACTAGCGGATACCCTAATTCTTTGCCAGCTTCTAGAAAGGTTTTCGCCAATAATGTGTGAGATTTTGGATACGTGATGTGCAGTGGTCCTCGAGTTCCATGGTATTTAGTATCCGATCGCAGTTCTGGAATCTCCATCGTCTCTATTTTTTTGAAGTACTTGAGAACGTCTTTGTAAGCCCAGCCGTCGTTTCCCATTTCGGCCCACCTATCGTAATCCTCGACGCCGCCTCTGGTAGCAATCATATAGTTGAGCACACTACTGCCGCCCATTACCTTCCCTCTTGGCCAGTTGCAGCTGTTGTCATTCATGCCGAGACAGTACTTGCTGGATGATTTGGTTTTATATTTCCAGTTGATGTCATTACTTAACTGCAGCATCTGAGCAAGTACCGGAATGTCCATGAGGAGATTCTCATTAGGTCCAGCTTCTATCAGTAATATCTTGATATGAGGAATTTCGCTCAGTCTTGCAGCCACTGTTGCGCCCGCAGTCCCGGCACCAATCACTATGAAATCGTACACGGTTGCATGTTGCGGAGTGATATCTGGTATTTGCTCTTTTAAATAATTTTGACCTTGATTTAAAAAGTTTAGAATCCCGGCTACCATTTTGAGTATATTAACTGCGCCGGGATTTGGAGTATTGTAAACATTGTTGTAGTTTGTCGACTGCGTCAGAACACTCGATTGTAGCCAGAGAATAATGCCGAGACAACTGAGGAGATACAGGAGGTTGGACGTTGTGTGAAACATGCTTGAGTGGAAGTTGTTCTTTAAATGTTCTTGAGTGGGGAGAAATGATAGGGAACTGCTTCTGGATCGATGTGTGCCCCTTACATATATACCTTTGTTAAAGTCTGCTCACTACATAGGTGTCACTGCGTGCAGCAGTACAGTAAATTTCTGTGAGAAGAAAAAGTGGTCATAATCAATCGTTCATATTTTAAGCACGATATAGATTATAGTAGTTACATATATACATATATACATATATACATATATACATATATACATATATACATACGCGCGTGTGCACACACACACACACATGTGTGTGTGTGTATATAATATATACACATACATACATATATAGTATGTGTGTATGTGTAATACGTGGATTGTAATCTTTTAAAGTAACTTTTATTAAAATAAAAATACAAAATACAAATAAAAAATAAGAAAATAAAATACAAATGAAATATACATTAAATATTATTAAACTTTCGCCGGATTTTATATATATATATATTTTTATATATATTTATATATATATTTTATATATATATATATATTTTATATATATATATAAATTTTATATATATATATTTTATATATATATATATATATATATATATATACACATAGTATATATTATATACATAGATTCTATTTTTGGCATCTGACTTTCAAATTTCGGCGTGCCTGGACACCCGTTTGCCCTAGCTAGTATTCTTGCATTCCTGAATTCCTCGACCATGTCATTCCAAGTGTCCGCACGGACAGTTCGACTTATAGACACTTCGTCATATCGCCACTCTCTTGCAAAATTTGATCTGAAGGACAAGTCTCTGCGAATAAGCTTCTAGTAGAGATATATGCAGTTTGCGTAGATATTCATTCACGTGTACTATTAATAGATTCTACTTTGAAAGAAACTATGAAGTAGAACTGGATAAGAATACGATTTAATAGTTAAAGTACAATGTCAAATGGTTAAAGTTTAATGTACAATATGTGGATTGATACTTTATAACTATCAGTAACATTAATTATTTTTTAATGTGTACGTATTATAATGTCTGTTATAGATAAATGTAAAATATATTTATTTATATTATTTAAAAAAAGTTTAAAATTGCGTGAACGATTAGTAAACATGTAGAAAACAAAGAAAGGGAAATTAGAAGAAATAAAGTACTTAGCAATATTAAGTTACGTGACAAAGATTCCTAAAGTTAGGAATGAAAGTAATAAAAAGGCAAATTAGAGACTTGTTAATAATGAAGAATTTTATTTCGGTAAGAATATTCTGATACTAATCATACAAGTAATAACTGTCATGGTAACTCAAACGCAGAACTTGATGAAATAGTACACGGAAAAAACAATATGGTTGATCCATACAGAAATCTGGTTGTTGCCAACCAGATTCAATAGTAAAATACGGAACAACTATTTATGTGATTACTGTAACCAAAGAGCAATGGCTGAGTTACTTATGTTGCAGCAGTGATAATACATGATTAATACAAACGCGGCTCATAACGCGGTAACTATAAATGTATATTTATACACTCAGAACCAATTGTCACATGTATACATCTCTAGCTGTGCGCGTAGTGAATTGTTTTTGTTTTTTAACATCGCTGCTTTGCAATATAGCATTGATTAATGCAACTATATCGATATTTAGCTTGTCTATGCAAAATGATCCCTTTACTAATTTCTGGTTGCCACAACTAGATCACGCGCAACTTTATTGATGTAGTTGACACACCAAAGTAAGTAAGTCAAATCAACTATATACATAACTATTATACAAAGATATGTAAAATGATGCAGCTATTTGCTTACAACTAAATATTTTATAGGTGCACCACATCTCTTTTTTTCGTGTACAATTATAAAAATGGATAAAAGGACACATGAGAAATAAAACATAAGAAAATATATAGGGTGTCCCAAATCACCTTTACAATCTCTTGTACAATCAAATTTGTAGCAAACTTGATGATTACAATCAAATATTTTCTTTTCTATTCTTATATAGTAAATGGGTTTAGATTTTGTGTATTTTTCGTGCACAGTAACTGCAAGAAAAGCATCTCAATTGGAATTAGAATCTCAAGCAGTTTTACTTTTTAGTTACTAGACAAAATAAAACTAACATAATTCAGCAATTATTCAAAAACTGTATTAAATTTCTACCAGTAGTTGTATATAACGAAGTAAACTGCTATCTTCAATATCGCGATTAGTTGGCACTAATCGATAAACAAAAAGGGAGATCACTTTTTAGCTACGTGCTGCCCTGTAAACGACATGGCTCTCTTCTCTTGAATAGAGTCCTAAAGTAAGAGAAGCGAAATCGGTGTTTGAATCCTTGATTGGTTGACGTTATATCTTGACCTCAGACAACTATTTACTTCGAAGGTCGAGTATTGAAATATAAGCTATATTGAATGTGTGTGTTAATATATGCGTTGCAAGGATAATGTAAGAATAAAAACCAATAGCTGTTTATGTGAGGTAAAATATCATTAACATTATCATAATAATAATTTATCTTACACAAATAGCTGTTGGTTTTTATTTTTCAGAATAAAATTGATTGATTTATTCTCTCTTTCTCTCTCTCTCTCTCGCTCTCTATTCTATTTAATTCAATTGTGCTTATTTAGTCGCTTGTGTAGTAGAAAACTGTCAAGTTTTTAAATAAAGTGTCGTTCAACACACACTGTTCCCTAGTGTCTTATATGTGTAAAAGAGAAACAAGTTTATAAACGTTTTCACATAAATTCAGATTTTTTTTTACATAAGAACATCTAAATAAAACAACATAGTTTAATTTCTTTTTAAGGCTCCTGGATTTGCATTGTTTTTTTTAATGACTTCAGAAGAAAAACACATGTTAAAAGTTCTTGCGAAATACGAGGGCTGTATAATAACTACCCGTGTTAGGGAAGGAAACGCATTTAAAAAATTTTTTTTCACTTATTTTTCAACATAGTCTCCTTTCAGCTCAGCCTTTCAACATAGTCTCCTTTCTCTCCTTCTCCATACACTTAATCCAGCGATATTCCAACGTTTTTATACCATCCAAAAAATATGATTTGACGAATTCCGCAAAATAAGCCTCTGTTTCGGCGATGACTTCTTCGTTTGAGGTGAACCGCTTTCCGCCAAGCGGTTCACCTCCACATTTTTTTATGTTCGAAAATAAATAAAAATCGAAGAGGACCAATTCTGGAGACTAGGATGGATAAGACAGAAATTCGTAGCGTAATTCGACCAGTTTTGCTGTGGCGATTGCGGACGAATGAACTGATGCGTTGTCATGATGAAAGAGCATTTTTTCTTCGCCAAATGGGGCCGTTTTCTTTTCAATTCAGCGTCGAATCGGCCCAATAAATCAGCATAATACTGCCCCGTGATTGTCCTTTCCTTCTCCAAACAGTCGGTGAAAATGATGCCTCGCAAATCCCAAAAAACGGTGGCCATGATCTTTTCGGTTAATGGAACCGTTTTTGTCTTCTTTGGAGCAGGTTTGCAAGGTAAAGTTTTTTGTTTTAACTGTTTCTGACGTGTAGTGATGGATCCATGTCAACGGTGACGAAATGCCGCAGAAACTCTTTCGGATTGCGTTTAAACATGTCAAAACAGTGCTTCGAAGTTACATGCGATTCCGTTTTTGTTCCACTGTGAGCAAACGCGGCACCCATCTCGCCGATAGCTTTTTCATACCTAATTTTTCGTGTAGGATATTTTGTACACGTTCAGTTGAGATATTTACAATGTCAGCAATCTCTCTGATCTTCACCCTGCGGTCTGCTAACACAATATCATGGATTTTGTTGACCATATCCTCGTAGTCACCTCAATCAGACGACCTGGGCGCTCTTCATCAAAAACGGGTATCGCCACGCTTGAATTCATTGAATCAACATCTGATGGTAGTCATCGAAGGTGTATGGTCCTTATAAATGGCATGCAACTTCCTCACACGTCTTCCCATCCAAAAAAAGGAATCGAATCATCAATGATTGCAAACAAATACAAACAACAACTAGTCCACTTTCAACAGTTATCAAAACAAAACTACTCGATAAATCTGTCTGAAATTTTGACTCATGTCGTTCGGAAGATGGCGTTAAACTATGGTATACAGACTTTGACAGTGAAGCCATCAGTCGTTAAATACGGGTACTTATCATACAGCTCTCGTATGTCGAGATAAAAAGATATATTTATAAATGTTCCGACAATCAATAAGAATAATTACAAAATTAACGCGCGCGCGTGACACATAGATAACTTTTTATAAATTTAATTTATTATTCTGTATCAATTTTATGATTATTTATTATTATTAAGATGTTTATTAAAAAGAGGTGGATAATGTGAATACTCATACTGCAAATCGAAGTGTATAACATATGTTCATGTATAAAATGAAAAATACTTACTTATAAAACTTGTAATTACATTGTAATTTTGTTTTCCGTGTAATAATTACACATTTTCATACATAAAGAAAGACATTTATACATTTAAATGTGTATGTCTTCTTATTTATAAAATTATATACAATATGATACGTGTAAAAGTAGCCAAACGTATACTTCTCCATAATTAAAATATGTAAAAAGTACATATATAAAACATCTTTACACATATAGGTCTTACACATAAGATTAACGTGTAATTAAGAGAAAATGCATATTGAATTCTAAAAAAAGTCTTCGTTATTTTCTGTTGAAAAATTAGATAAAAATGTGAAGTATTTATTGCTCCCAACCTATAATAATTTTTTTCGGTTGTTTTTTGTAATTAATCCTTTCAGTCACGCAATTAAAGGAACAAATAAATTTTCATATTATAATATTATTATAAGTTTTTGGGGACCCTCGAATTCAAATCCGTTATCAGATTTGTAAAATTCAAAATGGATCTAAATGGTAGATCCAATATGGCGACGGAATTGTCTAAAATTATAGAAAATTTAATCTATTTGCATGAATGTCTTCAAATTTCGAATATAAAAGTTTTAGAAAGTATAAATTTAAAAAATAATGTCATAATTAAAAAATAATTAAAATGGTAGCTCCAATATGGCAGACAAAGTACTCAAAAATTAAATTTATTTGCATGAATGCTTTCTAATTTAGCTTGTCGCTCGAAGACAAATCTTAAACAATTATATAATAATTAAAATATTTTAATCTTGGAAATGAAATGTACTAAAGTTTTATTGTAATGTGTAAATAATAATTTAATGATGTTTGTTCTATTGGATCCGTTATATTCGCCATATTGGAACTGCCATCTTGAACATAAAATTTTAATAAAAAATTTGAAATTAATAGCTTCAACCTTTGTATATAAATAAACAATGAATAAACCTTTTAAGCTATCAAAAAATTATATTCATAAAAGCCTACATTTTCTCCACTTTGTGTCATAAACAGTTAGAAATTAAACCTGCAAAAAATGTGTAAAAATTGTATTTTGTTCCTTAGTGTATCTACATTAATAAAAAAAAAATATTACATGTTTATCTATAATAGTCTACTTATAAATGAATTTAATGTAAAAAAATGTAATGTAACAAATTTTTTTAGATATTTATTTCTTTATAACAACAAAAATATTAACAATATTAAATAAATGACTATTGATGAATCAAGATTCAACCTTTAGATAGTCGAAAATAAAAAAAGTTCAATGTTATTGATAAATAACTACATAATTACATAATTTAAAAAAAGTAGATAAAAATGGTGTAACATATACATGCCAACATATATATGTTATGCTATTATACTCAAAGAGTTAAAGAATATCATGCAAATTTTCTGAATTATAATAACATAAATATGACAAAAATTAATATTTGCTTTTTGAATCAAACTTATTACTTATTTGCATTTAGTTAAAGCTATTTTTTATTTTACCAAAAACTAAAAATATAAAAAATCCAAAATCTTTCATAATATAGTCATTCTCATCATAATTGCGTTTATTCACTGGAAAGACATTTTTTTAATGTTATAACACATATTTTATGTATTAAAATATATATATATATATATATATATATATATATATATATATATATATAAATAAAATGAAATGTGTGTATATATAAACATGTAATTTTATAAAAAAAAGTTATTCTGTTCAGTAATTATAAACCACTTTTAATTACCTAATCTAACTTATTTCCAGCGTATCACATTTAAAATGTGTAACTCAATATACTGTGTAGAAAATACTTAAATGTGTAAGCTTACACAGATAAAGTGTGTAAACAAAATTACATGTATATAAGTGCACGAAAAGTGACTACGTTTTTGCACACGTAAAAATTACATACTTGAATTTATAGTGCAGAAAGTTTAATCACGTATCTGTCTTAATCTACCAGTTTTTCTGCAACCACATAGCAGGTATATTTGTAGGTATCGATATAATTTGACATAATATATGTACATGTATCAGCCATATGTAGTTATTGAATGTCAATGACCTGGAAAACATACGTTCACTTTTCGCAAACATTCGGTTAGTTCATATTCAGTGAATTTTATATCAATCGCTTTATTTCGTGACGGTCAATGAATACTTTCCTTAGCATTCCCTGGCACGTTACGTAAAGATTTTTTTTGATTGCACGTCAGTTTCAGCCTTGTTGTTTGCGTGCCGTTCTGGTTGTAGTTCTTAAGAGAATCCTCTCGTGTTCTTCCCGTTATAATCTATCGGCAGATATTATAGTTCTTTACAGTCTATTAAAAAAAATAAAATAAAATGCGATGTATTGATTTTCAGTGGAAAGTTTTTCTTTGTATTATTTTTAATTTAATAATTTTGTAACACTTTTATATCATACAAACAAATTTTCATAAAAAAATGTAAATTAATATTAGGAATAGAAGAGAAAGAGAGAAGGGGGAGGGGAGGAGAGGGAGGGAGAATTTTATAACGAAAAGAGGGGAAAAATCATATTTTTCCATACTATAACATCATTTATTTTACAACGAAAAACATCTTCAACAATTTTTAAATTCATGAGATTAATTCGTAAAAATGCTTTTTAACATTTTATGTAAACAATAAATCAACATATCTAATATCTTATTTGCTTATTACGGCTGCAAATAATTAATTATCGTGCTACTGCATAAACTATATAAACGTATATATTTAGAACGAAGTGAGATTCTTCATTCATTTTTTTAATATACGCTAAACTATCGTATGGCACGAAACAAAAAAAATTGAAAAACTCTAAATTATACCTGAGAAAATTTAACAATTTTCACGTATTGTATCACGTATTGTTTCGATATAATTTCGCGATTCCATGCTTGAACTGGCCTACAAAGTTTTATCATTGAAACTTTCTTATCCAATAACTACAGCAATAGATAACAGATCATTTATATTTCATTACATCACAACATGTGCACAACATATGGATGCCATTAAATTCTTGTGAAGATGAAATACAGTGTGACCAGGTTTTTAAAATTAATTTTTTCCTTCCTTCCATTATTATCGATACAATAATTCTATAACATACAAAAATTTGTTTTTTACGACAGATTAATAGAATGGTTAGTATGCGTCATATGGAATAAGAGAATATCGACCGAGTTGACTAAATAATCTTTTCCAAGATACAACGCTTGAAAAATATTTGACTGAAAGGAATACTTCGCACATCATGCATATTATTAGTTTGACATTGACCAATGTGCATTATCGTGTCAGCATCTGAAGTTCTTGTCGTTATAACTAATAGATAGATAGATAATTAATAGATAGATGAGTGTAAAAAGAAATAAAGTATCTGGCACTAATAACAGATATATCTAGTACAAAGATCATTCAATAAACGCTTAGGGAAAGCTTCGATCTTATTGATAGATACTTTTAGATCTGTTAAAAAATGTATAAATGTATCACCAGTTAAATCTAAAAATACACTCAATTCTCAGTGAACGGTCATTGTACTGAATACAGCCGGTACCTCGCTAAACAATTTTTCAAACATCTGTAAAACAATGAAAGATTGGCCAGCGAACGATAATGTTACACGTCGAACATCTTTGCGAATCGCATTACGCAAGTGTAATAAATCAATCGATATTTACGTGATATATCTCATGAATATCTCGTAAATATCTGAAGATACACGAGTTTCTGTCTTATTATAAAAAGTTTGTAAAGAACGTGCTAAATGAACCAAACATATTACGCCATATGTTTACGATAATGCAGTCGATCGATTATGTATTCAGATCACAGCATATGTGTGCGTACATGTGTATACGATACACAGGAAATAATCCATAGTAAACAGCGAAGTAAGCGATGTACAAGAAATATTCCATGGTAAACACCTATCGATACGCCTCTCTTATTAGCTACACTAATGATCACTCGCGCGTTACGCTCACGTGTAAAGGAAACGTTTGAAACGAGACGAACAATTATCGTATTCCAAGCGGAATCATCACTCCCCTCTCAACGTCCATCTTTGGCTCACATATACTTTCACGATCGGCTAGTGGCGACGGCTAACCAATCCTGCTTGATAAGATCGGCACCTTTCTCGCCGATCATAACAACAGGAGCATTCGTGTTCCCGCTGGTAATTGTCGGCATGATAGACGCGTCGATGACTCGAAGGCCCGAGACCCCGTGGACTTTCAATCTTGAATCCACTACGGCGGTGGGATCCGTCGATGGTCCCATTTTGGCAGTGCCTACGGGATGGTAAATCGTCATGGAGATGTGTCGAATGTGGCATTCCCAGTAGGCGTCTGAACCAAACTTGAGGTGTTTGCATCCCGGCAGTTTGGCGCGATAGAGCCTCGAGCTGAATTGCTTGAATACCTTTGCCTCGCTTACTCGGAGTGCGAGCTTCGCACCCTCGATCAGAACGGCGATGTCCATGGGATCGGAAAAATAATTCGCGTTGATGACGGGGCTATGAAAAGGATTAGAGCTTCGTAGTCGTATGGTACCTCGGGACTTGGGCCTCAGCAGCAGAGGCATGATAGTCCAGGTGTCTCTGTTGGCGATCGGCCTGTAGACAGCGTTGTACACTTCATCCGTCAATCCCAAGACCTTCCGCACTTGCACACCTGCGTCGGAATTGATGGAGGCCGGCGCCATGTGGAACTGTATGTCCGGGTAGTCTATGGATTGATTGGCATACTTTGTGTTAACGAAGGCGTAACCCTCAACGCCACCCAAGGTCGTCATGGGACCTCTGCCGTTTACCACATAGTGCATCGTCATCGGAGTCGCCTGGAAGCGATCTTGAACTATGGCAACCGGCTTGTCAATCAGGAACGTCAAGCCGCCCATGCCTATGTGGTCCTGCAGATTGTCGCCGACCCGGAGATCTTTGACGAGTGGGATACCAACGTGTCGCAAGTGCTCCTTCGGCCCGATGCCCGAGAGCATCAAAATCTGAGGAGTGTTGATTGCGCCCGCCGACAATACGATCTCTTTACGCGCTCGAACTATCTGTCTACGGCCGTCTCTAATGAATTCGACACCGACCGCTTTCATTGTCAGCGGGTCGATTATGATTTTAGTCACGTGGCTGTTCATAGCTATATGAATATTTTTACGTAGTCGGACGGGCCGCAGAAATGCCTTCGCAGTGGAGCATCTGCTGCCTCTGCGGATAGTTCCCTGCGATATCATGAAACCTGTCTGTCGTTCACCATTGATATCCCGGTTCTCGTAACCTATCTCTACACCGGCTTGAACGAAGGCGATCACCAAAGGCGTTTTCCACGGCGATTCTTGGACCGTCAGGTAGCCGCCGGTCGCGTGATAAGGGCTCTTCTGCAGATACGGGTTGCGATTGTCCTCTGACTTTTTGAAGTAATGGAGAACCTCCTCGTATCCCCAGCCAGAATTACCCAATGACTCCCAGTGGTCGAAGTCGTGCGCGTTTCCGCGAACGTATAACATGTAGTTGAGCACGCTGCTGCCTCCCAAGACTTTGCCTCGCGGCCAATTGCAACGGCCGCCCTTCATAGCTAGACAAGCCTTGCCCGTGGGCTCTGTTTTGTATTTCCAATCGAGCTTCGTCAGCTGCAGGTATGCCGCTAGAGACGGCACGTCCGTGATCTCGTTCTCGTCTGGGCCGGCTTCCAGAAGCAGCACATTCCATTCTGGTATTTCCGAGAGTCGACTGGCGACTACCGCTCCGGCTGAACCACTGCCGACAACTACGAAATCGTATTCCGCGTACAGAGGGTACTTGTCGATCGGTCGGCTCTCGGGATCGAGCTGATCGTAACGATAATAAGAGAGACCCGCTATCAATAGCGGCACGAGCCATAAACCCGTGCCCATCAGGCCAATGGCGCCCTTCAAGGCGGACGTCACCACTATAGCGCTGAAGACCATCCTGAAGAAAACGATTCGATCTTGTCTTTAGAATTCCTTGAGTTGTTCTAGTCTCGCGATCTCGTAGTCTCGTTGATTGTCATAATGGAATGTCGGGCGGCCTTGTGCCGATCTTTTCAGTCCCACGAACACCAAAGGATACGTCAGCATTTATAATCCTCATGACGCTTCTATCGATTCTGGTAGATCACTTTCACACTTCTTCGTTCTGTAACAGAAAAAGAGATGTTTCATGAGATAAAAAGGAATCTTTTTTTAATGTATTCCGCAAGTTTCTTTATTTACCAATTTTTTTTTAATTCAATATTAAGTTCAAGAATTGTTAATTTGTGAATTAAAGCTTGAAAGAATAATGCCATCAAATAAAGGCTTCTTCCCTAGAGAAAACAGGAATATCTCATTGTTCATATTTTTGAAAATTTTTCATCATAAACAGTCCGAGTTAAGAGACAATTTTAATTTTAATCGAAAGATCGAAAATATGAATATATTATATATATTAACCTTATCCTATTATATATATTAACCTTTATCCATTTGCTTTTGAAGCTTTAGAAACTATATATAAATTTCATTCATATATGTGTGTGTGTGTGTGTGTGTGTGTGTGTGT